CTGCCTTTCTCTTAAAGTATAGAAACATGATTATTAGTAATTACACACCTTTTACATCACTTTTCAATAATGTAAAAAAGTTAAAATTTTTGAAGTGCAAGGCTATAACAGTTTATGCTTTGTAGCACCTTCAAAAAAGCTTCAGGCTATCTACACGGGCAGTTGTAAATTCTCAGTTGAGAAGGATGCATTTGTCATCAGTGGCATTGCTCCTGCTTGTATTTCTGTGTAAGCGCCACAGCTCTGGGCAGTTCACAGATACATACCCACTCACCTGCTAGAATTCCTGTTATGTGAGATCTAAGATTTGCCATCAACTGCAGTGGGTGCTGCATAAATTACAAAATGAGTTGCAGATTTTTTCCATGAGTAAATTCTTAATTTACCTTTTTGTTCAATTCATTAAAGTTTTGTTCTGGATTTTTTTTTCTCCTTCTTAACACAACTTCACAGCGGGAAAGAAGCCTTCATTCCCGCTCTCTACATTAGGGCAGTAGGTAATACCGGCAAATTCCAGTCATAAAAGCAATCTTTTTTTTTTTTTTTAAGGCAACACACAATAACAGAACTATAACAGGAACAGTTCACACTTCAGAGGAACTTGGATGTCAGTAGTCAGTATTATTTACCTGAATGACAGTGTGTTGTGAGGCTCTCTTACGCTTTGACTACTGCTTCTGGGTACTGTTGGCATTTGGCATAAATTAGAAAATTTGCATTTGTGCTCTCCTCCTTTTATGATTTAATTACACTTGCTTTTCTTTAAGTCCTGACTGCGATACTTTAACCTGCAGTGAGGTGCATCTTCAGTGATCTGTATCACCACTAAGTGAGGTAACCTTATGCACTGGACAATGATCTGGCAATCTGGCATTATACTTCTATTGCAGTTTTTGTAAAAGGCACTGAAACTGTTACAACAAAGTAGTGGCATTCACAAGGCTTTGCCCAGATTCAAAAGCATCTTTAAAAAGACCAGTTCCCCTTTGACATCTTTCTGGAATAAAAGAAATTTGTGATCATTGCCCTTGACACTAAAATGCAGTCGTTTCTGGAGCTGGGTGTCGGTACGAACAAAAGCATGCAGCAGCATGATGCATCTAAGACTGGAGCAAAAGAACATTCTCCTGTTGAAACTGGCAGGGAAAAGGGGCATAAAAAACGTCAGGCTCAGGGCTTGTAGGTGCCTTTTTTTTTTTTTGTTTTGCTTGGCCAGGAACCCAAGTCTTCCACAGAGTTAACTTCCATCCTCTTATTAAAAAGTCCTTTTGGGACTACTTATGTGCTGTTCTAAGATGTTGCTTGAGGTAGTCCACAGGGGAAAGATGATTCCCCCCGCCCTTGATTTATTATCATTATTTTCTACAATATTATAATGCTTCTTGGAAACAGGCTTCACTCCGAGTAAGCAAGAAGACATCTTGTTTCCATGTACTTTGCTATTGCTGATAAGGTCTGATAAATGTGACTAGACTCTTCCGAAGCTTGCTCAGAGATCACTTACTGGATACAACATTGGGCATCACAGTGAAATGCAGGCATGCCAACCCCACCAGAGCTATGCAGATCTGACTGTTGCTCTTGGCACTGCAGGGGGCTGCCTTCCATCTTACTCAGTGAACAACGCAAATCTGAAAAACAATATAAAATGAAGATACTTTCTGTCTATCACCCCATAGTGTTTGTGACAAGAGTAGAAGTTCTAGTCTCCATTCAGAATAGTAAGAATTAAGCTCTCGGCGCTTTGGGGGATCGCGCACTAAGCGGAACAGATGGCCAACCATGTGCAATGGGAAGGAAGTGCCTGCCACAGAAACACTGGTAAGTGAAATAGTATCAATAATACCAAGATAAGAGTGTCTTTCATAGGTGCATGGAATGTAGGCAATGCAGCTCTGCAGAGTTGATTCTTCTCTGCTAAATAGATACAGTTGCTGGATTGTTCTTCTGTCAGAGAGCCAGTGAAGACATTGATAAATTGTGGTATTGACCTTTTATACCCCTCAGAAAGAACAAATGGGAAAATCTGCTTCCTCCCCAAAATTCAATCAAGTAGGATAATAGCTTTTATTATTACCACAGCTGACTGCTGCCCCTTCCTCTGCTGGTAGCAACAGCTTATGTGAAGAGTGAGAAAGAAGTGTCTTGAAGGAGGAGGAGTCTGATAATGAAAGCTGGGGAAAAATTACTGCCTTTGGAATGTAGAGTTTATGGGGTTTTTGTTTTTGGTTCACTGGTAAAGAGAGTTATCAGATCGCCAGGAACATGGCCCAAATGGGAATGTGGAAGAAATCATCTCTCCCTCTTTTCCTTCTCTTCTCCCAAATTGAAATCTATCTCTTTTTGTAAAAATTCTACAAAATCCTGTAAAATAAGTTAGCAGGGAACGTTTTCTGTCTTCATTTTCCAAAAAGGAGAAAGAAAACATGAAAACAGAATAGGAAAGGACACATTACACTGAACCAATCAAGCTGAGAGAGATGTTAATTCCAATGCCAGCCCCAGGCTGGAAGCCCTAGGTTTGATTCCCACCTGATGTATCTCCTTCTGCAACATCATAAGCAAATTTATGTAGAACCCCCCCGCCCTTTCCCTGACTTCCCTTTCCACAAAATGATTATAGTGCTTATCAGTATTATATTTTTAAGATCATGGTGTAAAGAAAGCTATGCAGAAAATGTTCTGCTTTGATTAACATTCACTGATGCAAAAATAATTGCATGGCTCAGAAAAGGAATTGGTGAGTGTCTGTAGGATAGCAGTCACATGGTCTGGATGTCTAGAGGGTTGAAGCTGTGAGTAGATGGTCAGTGGGGTACCCACCTTTCCTAACAATCCTTTTTCACAGAGCCACTTAAAACTGGAAGCGTGTGAATTAGATGGATGAAATCTGTTAAAACAAAACTGTAGAAACTGTGCTTAAAATTCTTCTACAACCCGTAAGTTGGGGCAAATGAATGGCATTTGTTTTGGAACTGAGATGCCCGATACACCTAATACTCCAAGATAGCTATGGAAATCCAGTCAGTGTGGCTGATAATGTCCCGGATGGGTTTATAATCAGATTAGATCTGTAAGGTATCAGTTGTGTAGACGTTGTGACTTAGGCAGATTGTAAGTGTTTCTAATATAAGGGTGCAACCCTATACAGAGTTGTACTGCTTAGTCCTTAAAGAGCAAATGAGGCGCTCTGGTGTTGGCCTAGTAACAACATCTTTATTTGTATTGTGATTTTGGCATTGGTTGGCAAGAAGATAGGAGGTGTAGCAACAAAAGGACTAAAGACAAAATTGTTACCTGCTCCACAAAAAACACACTGAAACCAATCTGAAGAATGAATCATGAACGTTTATATTTTCAGACCAATACTTTGCACTAGAAGGATTAGAAAACGTAGGTAAGCTGTTCTGGTATAGAGAGAGGAAAAAATGAATAGATGCCTGCCAAACAGTATCCAAGAGGGACGATTTTAAAGTTGAAGTTTTTTTCTTTCTTTTTCTTTTGAGAGTCATATAGGTAAGAAGTTTGAGATTAGGATTGAACTAGGAGTTTTACCTTATCCATGGTTTTGCTACTGTGGCTTTGACCCACCTACCGCTTTCCTCCAATCTGTAAAATATGGATAGTACCTCTCAGGGCTGTTGTCAGGACTGATTAGATCATGCTTGTGTAGTACGTTAGATGTGGACAATTCTATCTAAGTGCTAAATATATTACTAAATGTAATGCTTTCTAGGTTGCAATGAGAGCTA